TCAGCCTCCCCTTCTGCGTCGGTATCGGGTTCCGCCGATCCCGCTGCCCGACCGCGTGTTTTCCGCCTTGATCGCTGGGGAGGAGCTTGGGGGACGGCGGCGTGGTCGGATTCGCCGGCCTCGTCGTCGGTCGTAACCATTTCTGTGTTCTTCGCGCTTTTTTTCACTGCTCTAGCTTTTCCACCGGACCCTGGACGCCCAGTCAGACATGAGCGTGTTGGTTCATTGAGCATAAAGGACGATTACCTTTGTCTTTTGACATAGCCGTAGCAAGTCGTTTTTCATAGGCGCGGTAGGGGTCCCATGGCTTGGCAGTGGCAGAGATTTCCAACCTACCTTGAGCAATCACTTGGTCAAGGTGCGCTTTGCTGCGTGCGAGATGTAAGCGAATCAACAGTCTGGGCTGATACGGTCACATACATTGTCAGGGCATCGCGGCTGTCGACACTGGAGAGCAAGGGAAGCAGGGCTTTGAAAAATAAGATAGCGCGGTTGCGGGCTTTTTTGTTCTTGCTCGATTCATAGGTCACGAGTTTCTTCCCTATCCACGATAGCGCGGTAGTGTGTATCTTGACAATATGAGGTCCATCCAACTTCCGGACGATAGATAGCTGGGCACCACGAATGACAAGGCAGGATGCAAGCAGTTTTGCGAGTGCGACCGTGTGATCTTCTGTGTGGACGATGCCTTCAATGACAAGGGTGAATGACTAGGAAAGATCGTCAGTATACTCTCAGACCTTCCAAGTAGGCTCGCGACTGACATCACTGAGAGCCTGGCAAACAATCTCTACAACCACGGCACCATTGTCCTTATACATGCCTTCTTCACGGAGAATCTCGACGATCACTTTCGAGCACATATCGAACGCAGGACCAAGACGACCGTAATGTGTGAGGATGGTGACAGAATGCCGGAAGTGAATGACGCCGGCGCGAATCGCGCGCAAAAAGGTCGCAATTACCCCCATGAAAGCGTATTCCTTCTCAAGTTGCGAACGAGACGTCGGGCGAGCGACTATCATCTGGTGAGTGTCGTTCCGTTATGTTCCAGAGAAACATTGCTCACCTGAGTCCTTGCCGCCATGTTGCCTCCGCTTCCCAGAACCGCCCTTGGTTTGTTTCGCGTTGACATCGTCGCCTGACTGGCTGCCATCGCTCTCTTCATCCTCTTCACTGCCACCAGCGGGCGCAGGTACGGAAAACTCAAGTTCGTCAGCATATCGCTCGATTTCTGCTTGGATGAACCCCGCGCATCGATATTGGACCTCATCGTCCAGTGATAATGGAAGAGAAGCGGTGGGCAAACGAGAGCCGTCTGAAGCCATCGATTGTGCCGGACAGAACAGGATGTGGAGGTTCATGAGGTTCTGGAAAGCCTAGATATGAAAGGTTAGAAGACCAATCAATGTAATAGGACAATAGTTATATGTACCGCTCGTCGAACACCTTCAGCGGTGTTTGATTGCGTACCAACAGCAAATTCAAGAAGCTTTTCAATGAGAGAGTCACGCTGTTCGCGCAGCCGATTTTGAAACTGTTGCTCTGCGGAGTTGAGGTCGACAGCAGCGGTCAAATTTCGAGCTTTCCATATGATATGCAGCGCCAGGACGTGAAGCGCTCGGTCTACCATCTACATGTGTCGGTGATCAGCAACATCAACATAACCAGACGTGCGAGCCTACCAATTCTTCTTCCTTGTAGCCCAGTCTTCCTCGCTCAGTTAGCGCGCTCAGAATATCCCATGCGCTGCTCTGTTTACCACCTTCGTCCTCCTCCATCCATGCTGTCATATCTCGGATACCAACCAGAGCTCCAAGGCGTGCGCAGATGGCATATAGGCACAGGACCTCATCCTCGCTGAACGAAGCAATCTCGATTTCGTCACGTCCCGCAATGGCATCGCGGAGTGACGTCGCTAGCTCGTCTTCAAGTTCGATAATTTTTGTACTGTTTGTGTTCGAAAGACTGGTAGCATCCATCATATATCGAATAGTAGCAACAGTATTAGTGAGCACCACTGGTGAAGAATGTGAGAGAAATTGCTTGTTTATATCTTCCCAAATATTAGCATAAGCCTTGATGCGTTATCAGCGAATACAACCATTGTCCATAACAAATAAGCACGCACCGTCATCATCCGCATCTCCAGATAAAGATCAAGGTTCATGAGCTGGGGCAACAATAACACATCCGCCATCCGATTGTCGTCTGTCTGATGCTTTACAAAGAGCCGAGGGAGTGCCTTGATAAGTGCCCTCGTAATAGCTGAATCAAGAGATTCATCTTCTCCCTAAGTTCCGAACGTTTAATAATCTGGTAGAACGGCAGCCAGCCGCATTCGCATTTCCATACCTTTTTCGCACCCACAACATCCGCTCTAGCTTTTCGAAGCACAGCAATGAGCATTTCCAGTAAGACAGCCTCTTCGGATTCCTCGAGCCTCCATGCTTCGTCAATGCCGGTGCCCCCAATACCCGAATCTTGGCCACCGGTAGAAGAGTCTTCCCCACCTGCAGAATGATCGAGAAGAAGCATATCAAGCAGCTTGTCCCAGTCGCGCAGAGGCTCAAGCTCATCCCACAATGCTTCCACTGCCAACGGGACACGGCCTTTCCGCTCAGATCCAAGCAGAGTGGTAACCTCCTGTAGCTTCGTCCGCTTTGAAGGTCCTTCGCCCAAGTCGTTCTCGTCATCCTCCGAATCGACGTCCGAGGCAGCTTTATCTAGCGCACGTCCCCATTTAACAAGCAGAATGCCGAGAGCCTTGAATTGTATTCGCTGCCTGTCTCGCGAGTTGGGTTTCTTACCCACCAGGCGCTCTTCTACGCACTCTTCCCAGACACCGCGAACGAATCCTCCAACAGCCTTGCGTACACGTGCTTCCTCGTCGAAGAGGAGAAGGCAAAGGCGCTCGCGCTGCTCGTCCTCAAGGAGCCCGTGGCCGTCGATCGCTTGTAACACTTGGACAACCGCAACCCGCACAGGTAGTTCCGTGTCACCCACAGCCATTTCCACCAATCGTGGCTTGAACCGTTCGGTAAAATGCTGCAATGCTGCGGCACCGATGTAGGCTGTCTGGTCATACGCCAACGCGAGTGCTCTCACAGCCTCGAGGCGCACCTGGGTCTGCGCATCCGAGAGCACCCATCCCACATACCGGAGATAAGCGCCATCTAAGAAGTGTGCAGGATACTTCTTGAACCACAGCCCCATCGCTCGAACACATTCCGAACGGATGTTGGGATCTAGGTCACGGTAGCGATGCACGAAGACGCTGGACGAGACATCAGCACACCGGATCGGGATCAGCAGAACTACAAACACCTACCCATCAACGAATTCTTTCAGGAATTCGGCAAGGTTAGCCCGCCGTTCTCGTATTTCGGCAGCTTTACTTTCGAGCTCCTTCTCGCGCGCGGTGCCACCTTTACCCTTATTCGCAGCCGCCTTCCGCTTCCGCTCTCCTTCGCGCTGCCTTCCTACAACCTCCGCCTCCTTCTCCACGGCCGCCGCGACGTCGCATAGGGCAGTCTCCACTTCAAGGGCAATGACTGTTGCCGTGTGCCGGAAGCTGCGAAGTTGGGACGACGACATCGCAACAACCCAAGTCTGCAGCGTTGCCATGAGATCCGACGTATATAGCGAGCCGAGCTCCGCTGACGATGCGATCAAACGCTCGAGAAACTCAGAAAGAGAATTGCGGAATCGTTTGAATACAGGCAGCTTGGACGTCAGTGGGTAGATGGGGGAATCGTCCTGGAAGCAGACGTTGTCAGCAGAAGATGAGGTCACGTACGAGTAAATGCACCTTCTTAAGCCCCTCTGTGAAATTATCCAGGGCATCCACAACTCCATCATAGTCCACTACCTCGTCACCGTTCACGGTGTCGTTGCAGCCACACGTACGGAGGATACAGTTGACAAGTTCTGCTAGACTGAGGCCCGGGGCTCGCGAAAGAGACTCCAAATAGTCCTCTACGGTCGACTGCAGAGCAGCCGCAGGGTTCATAATAGCATCTATGCACAGTCAAAAATCAGGCTCAGTGCATGACCACTGCCATCGAAACGCACTGAAAAGGGGGTTGTCTCCCGAGATCTTCGTGTCTTGTGCGACCTTCTCCGCGTCGAAGCCTGCGGCTGCGGCGGGGTTTTGCCTGGCCCTACGCGTAGTTGTAGTTGGCTTCGTAGTAGTCTTCTTGGGTTTTGGAGCTGATACTTTTGCAGGGGCTTTGATCGCCACGCTCTTCTTCGCGACGCGCGGTTTCTTCGCAGGCGGAGGCCCCTTCGGTTTGCGGCCAGGTTTTGAGGGAGACTTCTGCTTTGGTTTCGGCGCGTCGAACTCGTCCTCTACATCTGCCGCATCGTGGTCCGAGCCGGTGTCTGGCGAATCGCCCTCCTCGTTGTCGCTAGCATCTGTGGTTTCGTCGGAACGTTTGCGCTTCAGGAGGGTGCTGTCGACTGCAGCAACGCGTCGGTGAGGGGCGTTGGGGGAGAGGAGCGCGACGCACCAGAAACAAAATGCGACCTCTGCTTTTTCTCCCGCTGCGACCTTCGCGGCTCCTGTGAACTGTCGACGTCGGCCATGACGGACGCGTGTTTAGAGTAAATGTCGCGTGGAGGACGCGCCGTTCGTGACCGTCGACCGTGTATCAGGAACACCTGTGGCGGGGCTGATCGAGCTCGCTTATCCATTACGTAATGTCAACCAAGTGCTTATCGGAAATAATCCTTCGGTATCGTCAATTGGCGTCTAATCTCCTTCTGAAGTTCGACCATCGTACAAACCCTTGCGCTTGCTACTGTGCTCAATCTACACTGCTTGAGTGTTGCTGAGACAATCTTCCTGACGATCGCAACATTTCAAAGCATTTTCAACGCTATGAGCCATCCTGAAACTCAACTACATGGCGGGATCTGGTACACGTCCTATCGGAGAGCCATCTAATATTACCCCTGCATCGGCCACTCAAAGCGCATCGTGATGTGGTCTGAATTGTGACAGGCTCAAGCAAGGAACAAAGGAACATAGCGCCACGCTTGTGGGTGGCTTTGACTTGTGGGTTCTGTCTGGCTACTCTGAGTCTGATCTTACCAGGACTTGTGTTACTGACATTTGCGCTGCTCCTGCACGACTGCGTTGCGATCAAACTCCACCTGCGTTCGTTCCGACTGCGCTCTCCAGCATTGAGGTAGGGACAGGTTGAAACCCACTCACTGCGGTAACGGTACACGAGGCAGGTGCATTGGCCACACCTTTCATCAATTGTCTCTCGCCGCACGCGCGTGTCCCCGGACCGCAACCAGCTTTGGCCACACCGCCACTAATGGGCCACAGTTTCTCTGTACTTGCTCATAAACCGACAACAATGGTTCCGCTCAGTCCATTCATCTCCTCCCTGGCCACCCTACACACTCTGTGGCTCATTCATCCCGCCTGGCCGCGCGCGTGTTCTTTCAAACTCAAGTCCTTTTAACGATGCCTGCCCGCGCGTCATCCTCCTCAACACCGCTCCGTTCCTCATCTGCTCTGCGCAAGAGAGATTCGCTGGGGCAGCCCGTCTGCAGAAGCCCCCTCTCACAAATCAACTCGAACAGCCAGCCTCTGGCGTCAACTAGCAAGTGTAGAATGAGCAGCAAGATCCGCTGTCCCCCAAGTCCCATCAGAGTCGATGCTGGCGTCGACCGCTCAACTATCCGTCCCGTTCCGTCTCCGAGGCACTTCGTCTATCAAATACCGAGCCCGTCAAGCCTGCGTCCGCCTGCGTCGTTGCCCGGCTCTGTCTACCAAGCGTCTCCAGTGCCAAGTCTGACTCGCAAGCTGTCGCAAATATACCTCGGCCAGGAAAAAATAGCCAAAGCGCCCCCCACAAAGGGACATGTGCGTGCGGCAACAGTCTCGGGTTACAAGCCCCAACGTCTTGGTCCCTTTAAGTTGTTGGACGCACTGCCCCACGGCATATACGGCAAGGGCTACGTTGCGCGCGATACTGGCTCAGGACGTGTTCTTTGCACTCGCGTGTTTGAAAAAAGCAAAATGCACGGCGACGCAAACTTGGCACATGCCCTGCTGACAGAACTACTGTGCTACAAGCGTATATCGACACGGCCTAAGGCAGACAGGGCGTTCCTCATGGAGCTACATGGCGTGCTGCAAAACGAAGAGCAAGTGGTATTTGCAATGGTAAGCGCGTTTAGCACACTGTATAGCATTCCGTGTACTAAGTTTGCAGCCTTTGATGCAATGTGATCTGTTGTCAGTGATTCGAGGACACGAGGACAGACAGCGGACGCGCTGGTGGGTTGCCCAAATTGTTTGTCGTTTCCGCCTTCCGTATCATTATGGCACTCGTTGACTCGAGCACGTCTACAGGCACTTGGCATCCAGGCGCTACATGACATGGGAATCATCCACCGCGACATCAAGCCCGAGAATATACTGCTGGACGCGCGTAGCGATACGATTCGCATCACCGACTTCAATGCAGCGTTCTTGAGCCCAGGGAGTGTCCCCCTTGAGCACGGCGAAGTGTACACCCAGGAATTTGTGGGGAGCAAGCCGTATTTGGCGCCCGAAGTTGCGCAGCGTCTGTGGTACGGCAAGATGGTCGACTGGTGGGCGCTCGGATGCACGATGTTTGATCTTATCTCAGGCGAGGTTAGTCTGAGCATATGATCTCGGCTGGGGAGTGGGTGCAGTGTTGACGTTTCATTTTGCGGTTGCGTAAACGAATCCAGGTACTGTTCCCAAATGAAGCACAGCGTGCAAAATATCTCAAGTGGGACCCCAAGAAAGAGGGCACTTCGTTCCTGAGATGGGTGACCGATCTGAGTCGTGAAGAAGAGAGCGTTCTGGTGGGGGTAAGGAGTTCCAAATTTCATCCGCAGTTCTCGTCGGACTCATGCCGCCATGCAGCTTCTGAACAAAAGCCCCCGTTGCCGGTTCCAATTGAAGGACCTCCAACGGCACCGTTACTTCGTAGACGAGAAGGGGTGCGTGAGCGCATGGTCACTGAATTACCGGTCATTTGACTGATGAGCTGTTGCTGTCATATAGAATCAACGTCTTCGAGACGCTCGAGGCTCAGACCCATTGGATACCTTCAGGTTGGTCATTCAATGCAACCTGAGCCACTCGGACAGTTTTAGTGACTCCCTTTATGTAGCTACGGCGGGCATCCCGGAAGACAATAGCTCAGATACTAGCCCAGAATTGGCGTTGAGGCCGCTATACCAATTCGCGGCCCGGCCAAGTCGAAGCGGCACGGATGGGCTCCATGATTTTGGAGAATTTGCATGGGTAAACCCAGGCGGGCTCTGGGGCTTGTTGTGACAGCTCATGTCCGCGATGAGCGGGCCCGGGGTCTATTTTTTTTATTAACTTATGACCTTTGCATGTGGCCACCGTTACTGTTTTAATTTTAATCAAGTGATATACGCTAGGAGCATTTACTGCCGAAAAGCTAAGTTCTGTGTCGCATGGGGTAACGGTGTCTTCCCTTCCTGGCTGGGCTGTTTGACTGCAAGCGTGAATAAGCAAAGACCGGGTTGGGTGATGATCACAAGGGTATTGGCCGATGTTTTCATTTCCGCTAGCCCACGATGGGATCTCTTTGACCGTGGCTTTTGGGGACCGATCGGGACTGAATGCGTTCAATTTCGATATTTATGTTTGATCTCCGAGGGCGCCACGTCTGGGTGATTGTTTCCGCGCGTTGAAACTCAGCAGCGGCTCTCCGTGTCGTAAATGTCCTCAGCGGTGGTAAAGCGTTGGGTTGGACGTCCGAGGCCCAAGGAGCCCTGTGCGCGCGCACTCTCGACGGAGGCGAGGAGGAATATGCTGCTAGGACAAGGCCGGCGAGCGGAGCCTGTTGGGCTTTGGGGTCTAGGCGCAGCGGCCGGATTGGGAAAATTTGATAGCGCAGTGGTGTCGCGCGCCGCGAGGCTATTGAACTCCAGATGATGATCGGTTCAGCACCGCGTACTGCGCGCGCCCCCGCGACCAAGCCCACTGAAACAGCGCGAGCGGGGTCCTTGTTTCCGAGGCAACAAGAGTCGGCATCGGCGTGCGGGGAGCCTGCGACGGCTGCAGACGCGGGAGAGAAAGGAAGAGCTGAGAACTCGGCGCGGGCGGTCGCCGCGGTGCTGGCAAGCTAATTTTAAGTAAGTAAAGAAACGCGAACACGGACGGATGATGTCTGTCGTTCGTTTCACGATGCGGCTCGGATGCGCCGGATTTTTTGAGTTGTCGACGGCCGGGCGAGAGGCCAGGGACAGGAGGGGGAGCGAGGGCCCGTGCGAGTGGACGGATCGCCGATAGACAAGCGCCAGGGTCGGGCTGGCCCATGTCCGTCACGGTCGTCGGCCAGTCCTCGTCCTGGCTTCTGCCGCCTCGCACATGAAACCTTAAAACCGTATTCCTCCATCCCTCGCGCCTCTTTCTCCCTCGCCCCCTCGCCCACCCTCTTTCGCCCTCTCACGTTCGTTTAATGAATCCCCCATGCCCGACCGCACTCCCCCGTCAGCCCGTCTGCGCTCAAAAACGTCTGACTTCTCCGACCTCCTTCGAGGAAAACATCCCGAGTCCCATGTCCCCTCTCCTCCACCACTCTCCGAGCCCGACCACTCCCCCGCAAAGGGAAAATCCAAAATCTCCTTCTTCGGGCGCAGGCGTAAAACAAGTTCTGCCTCCCCTTCCTCCGCTCGCTCTGCAGTATCCAACCTGCGTTCTCCGCAAGACGAGGATGTCCCACCACTGCCCTCATCTTTCGACCCGACCAAACTGCATACCACGTAAGTCTTGTCATTCTCACTGCCAGTCATCTGTCGTTGTGGGTCCTCTTCGCGACGCAGGAAGCGGGGCGTTGACGAGCGAAGGCATGTGCTCAACAAAAGCTGCGTCCTGCCTGAGCCATCCGCTCGGTCTATGCGGGGCTACATGGACATGCGAGTGTGGGCTCATAGACTCCATGTCACGCTATCCGAACCGGTCTCGCAGTGATCCATTGCGAAGCGAGTATTGCCTAAACGTCATCGTCATCAGCTATGTTATAGAAGCTCATAACCAACATCGGCTTCTCTGTAAACCTACCGGCTCCAACTTTCGGTCCTTATTGTTGAGCTATGGGTTCTCTGCATATTTGTCATCATCTCTTCTCCACGCTCCCAGGGTGTTAATTCTTCCTATTGAGGATACCATACCCACTCACACGTCCGATTCTATAGGAATGCGAGTAGGCCCTCCATGTCTACGCCATCATCTCCTTCCCTCAAGGTGGCTCCCAACACAGCTCTCCCTTCCTCCTTTGGCCATGTGTCCCAGCTCATGCCATCCAAGAGCGGCGATCATGCCAGTTCCAGTCACTTAGCCGAGTCATCTAAGCAAGGGACGTCCTCCATTCCCAAGCCTGCCGCTCGCCATTTGCGTCCTCGGCAATCTACATCATTAGAGACAAGCAGACAGAGCAGTGACAGTACCAGGCTCACTCGCAGCGTCAAGAAAGCTTACTCTGGGACAAACCGTCCAATTATCACGGTGTCGGCAGCCCCGCCTACTGTGGAGGAAGAGGTACATGCGTACAGCGCACCACGAAATCCACCATCTCCTCCAATGCAACGGTTTGCTCCCATGCAGAGTTACTCTAGACAGAATGACCGTGACACAGCAGGTTCTCCGGAGTCAGTGCCGTCATCTCCCACGAGTCCCCGGTCAGTACAGTTCTCACCGCGTCTGCCGGCTGGCGATAGCATTGGCAAGAGATCACAAAGATCGTCGGGATACGGTGACCTCATGCGAGCGCATACAGAGCTCAGTACAGATGACACGCTGCCCTCGCGTATGAGTGTGAGCAGCTCTTCGAGTGCGCGCGATGCTTTCCTGTTCTCTGGGCGTATTTCTGGAGAAAGAATTCGGAAGCAGACAAGTACCGTCTCGAGTATTGCAAAACTGAAGCAGGAGAAGACTGCTCCACATTCCTCTCCTCGAGGTGTACTAGAGCCATCCTCCGGTTCCGTGTCGCCGGAGCAGCAAGCTCCTCGCTCGCCTGTGCTTTCCAGTCGAATTCCCGGATCGTCGTCACCGATAAAACCCCGAGGCGCACCTGTCCCGCTGCTAACGACGTTCCGGCGATCTCAGCGCATCAGTCCACCAACAGACCCGCCGCCGAGTGTGCAGCAGAGTACACCGGTATCAGACCCGGAGGAGAACGGTCAGGCAATATCTGCAATACCCACGATTCCGTCGATAGCCTCGCGTATGTCCGTGGGTCAGGTACACCAGCTTGTATTCCGTCAACGCGCCAATACTGTGTCATCCGTGGGGTCAGCGAGCACTCTTGGTCATAGCGCAGGTCGATCCGTTACGGATACACCATCCACTCCTGCTAGCGAACGTTTCGCATTCGAGACAGATACGGAGGGGCCTCGCACGCCTACGGTAGAAACGGATCCCTCGAACAACGCGGCGACTGTTGCGCACTTGCGCGAGGAGGTGAATGTGCAGAACGCAAAGTACCAGCGGCTCTCGGCATACCTTCTCACGCTCTCGGAGCGGCATGCAGTCGAGAAGCATGAGCTCATGCGACGCATTGAGGTGCTTGAACGCGAGGCGCAAAAACGCGAGCGCGAGATGACCGGCTTGCGATGGCTGGTGATGAACGCTGGCCGCCGGCGCGAGAATGGCTCAAGGTCCGAATCACCTTCGTTCTCTGCATCGGAGTCGAACTCGCCTCCAGCTGGCACTGCTGCTGCTCCAGGCAATAGCCCTCTTAACGGGGAAGAAAATGACCAGCGGGGAATGTCGATTGATTCGACACTGGATAGCATGGAGGAGGGCCTCTTCGAGCTGCAGAAGAGTGTCTCTGACCTAATCGCTCCCTTCGCGCAGAGTCCGCCCGGCTCAGATGCCATCGCAAGCCCGGCGCCCAGTGTGCGCTCGTCGCGAAGTGCTGGGCAGATGCACAGCCGGCTAAGGCGGTCAAACACCCTGCCGAACTGGATTCCGAAAAGCTCGCCTCCAGGGTCGACAGAGAAGCAGGCGAGGCTGGCGAATTCGCCCACACTTCCAGCGACGTATCTCAGCGGTCCCGGGTTGGGGCTGGACATGGACATCCCATCGATTCCATCGCTTTCGGAGACAGACGCAGGGAGCATGACGCCCGCGACATTGTCCTCAGGGTCGGGCGGGTCGTTTTTGCCAACGCTCACGGCCGCGAATACCGCGTCGTCGGGGTTGTCAGCTATCCCGGAGACTCCGCGGAGCGCCACGTTCCCTGAAGGCCGTGGCGCCGAACAGGACGGTGCATCGGATACGGAGAGAGGCAAATCAGGAGGCGGTAAGATGTCACGCGCTGCAAAGCGTCTCTCGACTGCGTCGACGTCCTCGAGAAAGTCGGCAACCGCTGGCTACGAGGGCAACCTGCGACTTGGGGCGTCGCCATCCATCGGGCAAATATTGGATCGTGCGACAGAGAAAGAGTCGAACATGGACAGTGTCCTCCGCAAATTGCGATCATATCGACCGGGCTAGCCCTCGCACTGTGTGCAAGGGCTAGCATGACCAGAATACAAGACATACCATACATTCCAAGTTCGAGTTCACGTTCGTTCTACGTTTCATAGCTTCGTTCCCGTATAATCTGAGGTAATATCATGATGGACGCGCTTTGTGTATTCATTGCGGAATGTTCCATCCATATCCGGGTCCGAGTCGATAACCCCGTCGTTCCACGCACGTTATTAGCTTTATAGATATCGCAGTAGTCCCCCTGGTTAGTAGTGTCGTTGTCGTCCTCTCAGTCTGCGTGCACCGTGCGCAATCTGGGTCTGTGATCGGCCGAGTTGTATCATTTTTAGATAGAATTTTTGGAGGCTTTGACTATATAGCCTGAATCAAAAGTCAAGCTAGAGAGTATTATGAGCAGTAGATTTCCGGCATGTGTTTCATATAAGGTTGATGTGTAAGTAGTCATAACCATTCAAGCCAGGATGTCGCCTTGTCGCGGCGCACATTATCCTTCAGTTCCCGTTCCCTGGGCAAGTTTTCGACTTGACAAAAGATTCCGCAGCTGCCAGTAGCGAGTGATCGGAGCGGCCTGAGGCGTGCCGTATCCGAGAGCGCCGTCTCTTTGAATTGATGGGCCGCATCAAGTTATCGTGCCTTGACAAAAATCTGCACAGTATCTGCGTAGAAGGATGGGTTCAATAGAAGCGACCTGTATAGCAGAAGATTCGGAAACAACAATTCTGTAATGTGATTGCACTGCTGAGGACGTCGCTGAGACAGAAGAGGTCGGAAATCTTAAATTGAGCTTAAGCTTAAGCTTAAGTTCGGGACCGGCGCAAATTACATAATTATCCTAGCCCGCTGTGGTCTACTGTGGTCCTTACTGTACCTTACGCGAACGCGTACTTTGAGTGCGTACTTTGAGTACGTACAGCGCTTGTATCCGAGTACTTGAAGGTGAAGTTCAACGGCAACCCATGTCTGCAAGATATCGGTCAGAAGAGGGTCGACCTGCGCATCTCTGTTGTGCACTTCCAGGGCGTCCCTCAGTTCTTGGCCTCCTTCAACTCGCCGCTCGCCTCCAGCATCGTTATGGGTCTGAACACACCATTGAGGAACGGGTCTGACAATGCTGACAGTGGCCACGGGAGTTATGCCCAGACACCTCCAGAGGGTCAAAGCAGGATGGACCAGGACGGGAAGAGTAGGGATGGAACCACTGGCACGCAGTCGAAGTCCGGCTCGCGTAGGAGCATTTTTAGTGAGTCATTCGTCAATTCATGTCCGCGCGCAACTCACACGATGTTTGAAGAGCGAATCAAGGCTGAATTTCAATTCCATGATAAGCTGCACAGACTTTCGTTTAGGCAGTCGAGTGCGCATGATACTGCCGCGAACTCGGAGCCAGAACGGAGCGACGAGTCTCAATCGCTGCAAGACGATAACGCCGACGAAGTTGACGAACATTCTGACGAGGAAGAGGAGGATGATGAATCTGACGGCAGTGGAGGCGAGGATGATGAGGCTGAGCCTGACGACAGTGCTGCCGAAGAAAGCGCGTCGGGCGAGTCGGGGGATGTTGCCTCGGACGCGGATGACACTGTCGCCAACTCCGCCCCCATTGTTACCTCAGATGTGGGCCGACAGAATACCGTTGCCCAGAACCATCCGACCCAGGCCTTTTTACACCCAGATCGCGATCCGCTCCGTGCCATGAAGGTAGGAACCGCATTCAGTTCTTATACTGCCTATGGTGGCCTTTCGCAGTTTGGCGTTGGCTCAGCCACTCAGGGTATCCACCCGCAAGCCAACGTTAGCGGGGGACAAATGTTGTACCAACAACCCCCCCAGCGCCCGCCGCAACAAGATCAACAGCCCCAGTGCCAGCCGCAACAGTACCAACAGCAGCCACTACAGTATCAATACCAGGTGACGCAGCAGCAGCTCCAGCACCAGGTGGCGCAGCAACAACAACAACAGTTCCGGCACCAGATGGTACAACAGCAGTCCCAGCTCCAGCGTTTGCCGCAGTCACTACAACAGCTCTCGCAGCATTTATCTGTAAATCTACAGCCGTTGACCCAGCAGCTTCCGCAGCACCATTCGCAGCCTCGTCCGCCGCCTCCTCAACAAAATATGTCACCTCCCACACAGCAGCTCCAGCAGCATCCTCCGCCGATCCGACAGCTTCAAGAACTCCAGGAGCAGTACCAGCGTCAACAGCAACAGCTCCAGAGGCTTGAGCACAATCTGGAGGCGGCTGCGAGGCGCGAGGCGCCTACGAAGTCCACCAAAGGTCCAAATCAGCCTCAAACGCAAGGCCGTGGTTCGGAGAAGCCGCAAGACCAACGTGCGGTGAAACGTTCTGTGTCTCAAAAGGATGTTCACGTTCGCATTACCAGGACCCCCGCATCGGGCGATGCTAAATCTCTAGCCTATGATCTTCTCATGGAGGTAGAGAAGACGAAACAGGCGCAGTGTAGTTTGAGGAAGGAAGAACTAGCGTTACAAAGGGAGCAGCAACAGTTGCAACTTGCGCGCGTCGAGTTGGAACGGGAACAGATTCGTGAGAGACTGCAGAAAGCAAGTCTCTGTACCCAGACACGAAGCAAGCAGCCAGTGCAGGAACGGGGATCCGAAGGCAATGTGGTAAGCCCTTGGGCGGGATATGCCAGTCCTACACCTCTGTTACAGTACACTGGTGGTGATACCCCTACGACACAGCACTTGCCTGCGATCCCGTTAGTTTTGTCCAACGTTCAGCCTTCCCCAGTTGTGACGACGGTTCCGCAATTTTTTCAGTCTGTGCCCGGATCAATACAGAGCCAATCCACAGGTGGGAGTGTCGTTAGAATGGTTCCCATGAACCAACAGATCCCGGTATCTGGGATTCCGCAAGTACACCCTGTTTCGCCAGTCCAAGTTTCGTCGCCGCAATTTAGACCCGCTGGTAATCCGTCGTAGTAGTTATATTTGTCTCCTGTCGTTCTTAGAATGCCTCTCGTTATATCGACACGACTACATAGCAGTCTCCGCATCTACCAAATAGCACCTAACCTTAATTTCACTTTGATACAGTACTGCTTAGCAATGGGACTAATGACAAGCGCTATTTTTGAAGCAATAAAATGGATACCGTAAGCGTAAAAATAATGTTGTCGATTATGTAATGAAGCGGTAAAAGTTGCCCGGCTGCATGCCCAGTTGCCCAGCCTTTTCTTCCACGCTCGACGACGACGACGACGACATCGCCCTCCTTTCCTTTAGCCTTATCTCCTTCCCTCCGCTCCCTTCCAAGCTTTGCGCTCTGTTCAGCGGCCCGCCATGAACGGGCGGGAGTCTACTCTCACGATGCGTCAACGGCTCGAGGCCGTCGACGACCTCGCAACTATCTCCCCGGTCTCTGAAGACATTATCGTAACATGCCTTCGTGAACGATTCATGTCTGACAACATCTACACTCACATTGGCAGCTCAGCGGTTGTCGCGATAAACCCACACAAGTACATTCCCAGCAATTCCGACGCCGTGTTGCACAAATATGCAGCCGAGTACCGAGACACGTCGCCCAACAAGGAGCGTCTGGGCCCGCACATCTTCCAGCTTGCCAACAATGCGTACTATCATATGCGAAGGACAACGCAGGACCAGTCGATTCTCTTGAGGTATGTTTTGCGTGATGCATACAAGGTTGGATAATGGGCTGATTATCATGAAGTGGAGAGACTGGAAGTGGGAAGTCCGAAAGCCGTCGTCTGGCCATCAAGACGCTCCTCGAGCTCAGCGTGAGCCAACCAGGCAAAAAGGGTTCAAAGCTCTCAACGCAGGTTCCGGCGGCGGAATTCGTTCTCGAGGCCTTTGGAAACGCGCGGACGCTGTTCAACCCCAATGCCTCTCGATTCGGCAAATATACGGAGCTTCAGTTCACCGACCGAGGCCGCCTGTCAGGTATGAAGACTTTGGATTATTACCTTGAGCGTAATCGTGTCGCCGCAGTCCCTTCCGGGGAGCGCAATTTCCACATATTCTACTACCTCGTCGCTGGTGCTTCGGCTGAAGAGCGACAACATATGCACCTCACCGAGAAAACGACGTTTCGTTATCTGGGTCAGCGGAATGTTGGTGCCCGTGGGAATGCCGGCCGGAATGAGGATGCCGTGCGGTTTGAGCAGTTGAAGATGGCTCTGAAAAACGTTGGCTTCTCGAAACGGCATGTTGCGCAGACGTGCCAGCTAGTAGCTGCGATCCTTCATTTGGGGAATCTGGAGTTCACCATCGACCGAGCGCGTAATGAAGAGGCGGCCGTCGTGCGCAATACCGATGTCCTCGAGATTGTGGCGGATTTCCTGGGCGTCCAACCTTCGACTCTAGAGACGGCACTGACCTATAGGACGAAGCTAATGAAGAAAGAGCTGTGCACCGTGTTCCTCGACCCCGATGGCGCTTCAGATAATCGGGATGAGCTCGCTAAATCCCTGTACGCGCTGCTCTTCGCCTGGTTGAACGAATACATCAATCAGAAGCTGTGCCGCGACGATTTCAACACGTTCATTGGACTGTTCGATCTGCCTGGTCCCCAGAATCTAACGAGCCGACCGAATTCTCTCGACCAATTCTGCGTCAATTTCGCCAACGAACGGCTGCACCACTTCGTTCAGAAGCGGTTGTTTGAGAGTCACGTCAGCGAGTACACGAATGAGGGGATCTCACGCCTCGTCCCTCAGGTTCCCTACTTCGACAACTCGGAATGCCTGCGGCTGTTGCAAAACCAGCCCGGTGGCCTGCTTCACATCATGGACGATCAGGCTCGTCGTATGCCGAGGAAGACTGACCAGACGATGGTCGATGCGTTTGGGAAGCGATGGGGAAATCACTCTTCATTCAAGATAGGCGCGATAGACCGCTCTGGATGCCCGACATTCACTGTGAACCATTTCAGTGGCCCTGTCACATATTCGTCAGAGAACTTCCTCGAGCGAAATCTGGATGCACTTAATCCTGACTTCGTCTCGCTGCTTCGAGGCACCAGTGCGACTGCGGATGCACCTTCCACTGATGGGTCTGGGTCGACCAATCCGTTCATTCGAGGCCTCTACACTGCGAAGGCGATTGCGACACAGGCTCATCCTCGCAATGAGGAAACGATCGTGTCTGCCCAGCAACCGGTCAAGCCGATGCGCGCTCCTTCCACACGTCGAAAAGGTACTATCAAACGTATGCCTACAGTACGTGAGGGTGATCTCGACGAGAAGGATAAGGACGACGAGGAGCCACTTGGGACTGCTGTACTTGCAAACGGCCCCCCATGTGTCGCTGGCGAGTTCCGCGCGGCCCTAGACACCTTGTTCGAGACGTTCGAGGAGACCCAGTCTTGGTATGTATTCTGTATCAATCCCAACGATTCACAACTACCGAATCAGCTGGAGGGTCGCTCTGTCAAAGCCCAAGTCCGTAGTTTAGGTCTCGCTGAAGTCTCGAAGAGATCCGCTTGCGAGTTCGAAGTGAACATGACCCCGGATGAGTTCGTGTCGCGCTACAACGCGCAGTTGATTTCGTCGAACATCATTGAAGGTGAACCGAGGGAACAGATTGCGCAAGCGAGGACTGCGCTGGGCTTACAGGAGAAAGATATTGTTCTTGGTACGAATAAGGTATGAAATCCAATCTCGTTCATGATTCGATGCCCTAATCGTATTATCAGGTCTTCCTCTCGCACGTCGCCTTCCGTGCCTTCGAAGATGATCTCCGATCGAAAGATACTGAAGAACAGAAACGGAATAGGTTGCGCGATGCCGAAGCTGAAGCTGGTCTCGATCCTAGAGGGTTGCATGATCCATACGCCCCGTACCAAGCACCTGGTGCCGAATCGCCGTATGAGGGCGGATATAATGATCCTTTCGGACAGTCTAACCAAGCACTTCCTCTTGTGCAACATGCCTCTCCTTTCCAACGCGCCGATATGTATGACGACTTTGACGAGCGCAAGTCGCTACGCAGCGATGATTTCGATGGCCGAAGCGCGTACACTAGTAATCGCGACAACGAGACCGTTTCAAATTATGGCACTGAGTCTTATGCGCCGTCTCGCAATATGTTCCAGGATGCGGATAAGAAAGGTTTGCTGGAAAAAGAAATTATCGCCGGCGAAGTGCAAGACGGTGAGACAGCGGAGGTCCTCAGGGAAAGCTCGGTCCGCAGGAAGTGGGTAGCGCTATGTTGGATCTTGACGTTCTGGATTCCTACGCCCTTCATGCGGTGGTTCGGTCGGATGAAGCGTCCTGATGTTCAACAGGCGTGGAGGGAAAAACTAGCTATCAACATGCTCATTTGGTTTGTCTGTGGATGCGTCGTCTTCATCATCGCGATTTTCGGACCCCTCATCTGTCCCACGGAGAACGTTTTCAACCCCGCTGAGCTGCAGTCACACTCGTACAAGAACAATCCCAACGCTGCCTATACGTCCATTCATGGCGAGGTATTCGATCTCACCGAAGTGGCCGCTCAGCATGAGCGTGTTGTGCCCGTGATTCCGGTGAAGTCAATTCTTAACTATGCTGGTGAAGCGGCGGACGATATTTTCCCCCTTCAGGTAACGCAGGTTGATTTTATACTTGACGACCAATTATTGACTTGTCGCTAGGTCAGTGCCCTCTGCAATGGAGTTACAGGAACTGTCAGTCCCTATGTGGTTTTGAGCTCTGCCAACGACACGGATCCTAATGCACAATACCATGACTTCCGTGCTTGGACTAATGACCCTCGTCCAGATTGGTATTTCGAGGTGATGACCCAGATGCGATGGAACAACCGCGTTGGTTGGATGGGTTACACGATGGGCGACCTCCAGAACATGGCAACTTCGGGCAAGTCTGTCGGTGTCTACAACGGAATCATCTATGATGTGACGGGGTATATCACTTCTCCTCCATCAACTGCTCCTCTCGTCAACGAGGTTTTACCCACCGACGTCGATGTGCATTTTATGGATCAAAGCGTGATTGCCGTATTCCAGTCTAACTCTGGACAAGATGTCACAAAGCAGATGAATGCCCTCAACCTTGGTTCTCAGGTCATGGAATGGCAATCGACATGTCTGCGTAATTTGTTCGCAATCGGTATGGTCGACACGCGTAACTCGCCGAAATGCCAATTTGCAACCTACATCCTTCTCGCCCTTTCCATTGTCATGGTCAGCGTAATTGGGTTCAAGTTCATTGCGTCCATCAACTTCGGCTCTGAGCGCGCTCCTGAGGATCACGACAAGTTCGTTATTTGTCAAGTGCCTTGTTACACGGAAGGTTTCGGGTCGCTGCAACGAACGATTGACTCTCTTGCGCAGATGAAGTACGATGATAAGCGGAAGCTCATCCTTGTCGTTTGCGACGGTATGGTTGTTGGTTCAGGTAATGACCAGCCTACTCCCCGTATTGTTCTGGACGTACTGGGTGCGAGTCCTAACATCGATGCGGAGCCGCTCAGCTTCCTCTCTCTCGGGGAAGGTGCCAAGCAGCATAATATGGGAAAAGTTTATTCTGGTCTTTACGAGACAGCTGGCCATGTTGTACCTTACCTTGTCGTGGTCAAGTGCGGGAAACCTGGAGAGAAACAGCGTCCAGGCAATCGTGGAAAGCGTGATACACAGATGCTCATTATGCGCTTTTTGAATAAAGTATGTATAAATTTTTGTTTATCTCTCTCATCTCGCTTATTCCTGCATCGAAGGTTCACTTCAATTCTCCAATGAGTCCGCTCGAACTGGAGATGTATCACCAAATCAAGAACGTCATCGGTGTAAACCCTTCGTTCTACGAATATGCTTTCATGGTTGATGCGGACACGACCGTCGATCCTCTGTCCCTGAATCGTCTCATCTCTGCGTACGTCTCATTGTCATCGACTTCAGTCAATCCCTAACATTTCATTTTGAAGTATGGTGCGCGACAAGAAATTGATCGGTGTCTGTGGAGAAACGGAGTTAGCCAACGCGAGACAATCATTGATCACGATGATGCAAGTAAGTTGTGGCTACGCTTTTTCTAATTTGCGTTGCTTAATTGCCGTCGTAGGTCTACGAGTATTTCATTTCCCACCACATGGCGAAGGCGTTCGAAAGTTTGTTCGGGTCGGTCAGTTGTTTGCCAGGTTGTTTCACGTTGTATCGTCTTCGGAGCCCGGATACGCACAAGCCGCTTTTTGTTTCAAACCAAATCATCGAAGATTACTCGGAGAATAGAGTGGATACACTGCACATGAAGAACTTGCTGCACCTTGGTGAAGATCGTTATCTTACGACGATTGTTCTCAAGCACTTCCCGCTTTACAAGACGCAGTTTGTTCGAGATGCCCACGCGTATACCGTTGCACCTGACGATTGGAAGGTTTTGCTATCTCAGCGTCGGCGTTGGATCAACTCAACGGTGCACAATTTGGGCGAACTTGTCTTCTTGGACCAACTTTGCGGCTTCTGCTGTTTCTCCATGCGCTTCATCGTCATGATTGATCTGGTATCCACTATCATTCAACCAGTAACAGTAGCATATGTGAGTGATCCACGTGCAGACCCCTACTTTCTCTGATCAAATCCCTATAGATCGCTTACATTATATATCGAGCTGCGGGCTTACACGAAGCCATCCCTACCATATCCATCATTATGATTGCTGCGGTTTATGGTCTCCAGGCTCTCGTGTTCATCTTGCGGCGCAAGTGGGACATGATCGGTTGGATGGTGTTTTATATCCTCGCCATTCCTGCATTCTCGTTCTTCTTGCCACTGTACTCGTTCTGGAGGATGGATGACTTCTCGTGGGGTGCAACTCGTGTTGTCTTGGGAGAGGCGGGCAAGAAGATGGTGGTTCATGTACGTAGTTTGTCATATTTCCGTCATGACGCTGACCTATGATTACAGGATGAAGGCAAATTTGATCCTAGAGTAATACCACTCAAGTCATGGAACGACTACGTATGTGGTCGTATTATATGTGCATATTTTGGCTTTTAACCATCGGTATGTTCGCAGGAGAATGAGCTCTGGGACAAGGAATCGAACCACAGCATTGGATCTTGGGTGCCCCCAACTAAGATGATGAACGAAGGATATGCCGAGTCTCATACCGCTTCAATCTATGGCCGCGAGACCTTCTACGAACCGGCAATGTCTCGGGCGTACTCACCGTCTCCCTCACAGGCGGCGATGGCGATGTACCCACCGCCCGGCTACCAATCAGGGCGGAATACACCGACGATGTCAATGGTTGGCTATCCTGCTCCGGGTATGGTGTACCAACCCACGCCTTCTCGCCCCACAAGCAACTACATTGATGTTCCAATCCCGTCGACACGAAGTCCGGAGACGATGGACTCACCGCAGGGTGGCCCGTCGAGCGCGGACATTGATGCCGCGGTGGCCGATATCCTGCGCGACGCAGACCTCGCGACGACCACCAAACGTGAGATTCGTAGCAAGCTCGAGCAGCGCTTCGCCATGGACCTCTCGTCACGCAAACGGGACATTAACGATGCCATTGACAGGATTTTGTTGAGCCGCGCAGGTTGATAGGTTGTGTTGATGTTAGGACCTTCTTTTCTTTCATTACGGATTTTGCTTATGCAAGCTGGACATTCTCTACACGTCGTCGTACTCTCTTATACATCAGATGGACTTGTACTCTGCTCACATACATACCATTCATCCATAGTTCCTAATTCCCGTACACCGCCAACAGGATATGTCCCGAGCGATCGTAACCATACTCCACGTGACTGCTCCTTTCTCATTGTGTCATGTGTTTTCGGTGCCAACAAAGCTTATTGGGACTTGATCATGGAGGCCGTATGGAAGACAGCCCAAGTGACCACTTCTAACATCAAGGGCAGTGTAGCCAAACTTGGGGCGGTGGCAGCCAAAGTTCGGGGCTGTGTTCTCTCCGTACCCACACCTCGCTCAAAACCACCATCGCTACTTCGAAAGTCACACCCTAAGTCTTATATTCAACCCAGTCCCTAAACGGCGACTTATGGCAGACCAATGTTGCGCCCCACTCTGTGAATGCTGTTGTGCTTCTTGCTGTGCGTCTCTCCCTGTTCGCTCGCTCAAATTGACTCTGAAATGTGTGACTGACAGGTATTGGCTGCACGGAGTCGCTGGGGAACTGGATGTTGTTTGGTGCGTTTCGCTGTGTGGCCCTCATTTGCGCAACCGCCGGGTAGTGCCCCATAAGAGCTTACCGTCTTTGCGCTTGTAGCCCGATGTTGTGACGGTGACTCTCGACAGAGCGGGTGTTGCGGGCGATGCTGCAAGAGATCGTTCGACGACGACGACTTTTTTGCGCAGGAAAGAAAGCGTGACCATGCGCAGGCCATCTTGTCGCCTTCCTCCAGCGCTGGGCCAGTTGTGAACACTCAGCCATCGCCACGTCCGTCGCTCTCGGTACAGCGAGCTGAAGGAGGTGGTGGGACGGATGCTCCTGGGAGCTAGGTGGATTCCGAAGTGCTGCTTATAATTTCTTTTTGATATTGGGGTGTTGGGATGTTTGTATGGGTTGAACAGGCTTACTGGTTGTAGCTGCCTCTGTCATATTATTGTCCAACCGAACTTATATACTCACTTTGGCGAGCTGGCTCAGTGCTCAGGATGAATCTGAGCGAACGCGGCGCGTCATAGTCGCGTCGACATGCGATGCGTGACCGCGTGCTTAGATGCCGTCCGTCCCCGCCAGCTCTACGCCGCGCCACCACTTCGTCACCAATCCGCACGACGGGCAGACATCCATGTTGGCTTGTACGCGTCTACGGGGTGCAGCTTCCTCCAGATTATACACCCTTCAATGCTCTTATGCCGCTGCGCGGCCTGCGTTAGGACGGCTCCAGTTCACATACTCATCATGCTTGTTTTCTACTGCTCACCGTCCCCCACGACCTCCGGCATCAAGTAGATACGCTCTGGCAGGTTCACCCGTATATGCGCGCACAAGATCATTCGTTTCCGCGCGCTCCGAGCCCGAACCTACCTGCTTTCCCGACCCAGAGCGGCCCGACCTCTTCTACCACCTCTTCGAGCCCCCGACGCCGGTATCGTCCTCGGTCCCCGTGTTCGCACTGTCCTTCCTTGAGCAGCGGCCTGCATCCGCTCAATCACCTGCGGTCATCGGCTGGTTGCCCGCCAGCTCGTCGGCAGACGCGGACAGCGCGGGGCTGAACGATTTCGTGGAAAATCGTGAGTGCCTTCTCCGGTGTTGTGTGCGGTTGCGTGAGCAAAGGCTGTACTGATGACTGTAGCTTCCTTCCGCGAGATTTTGCACGAGGCCATCAGGGGCGGGCTGATGGACGGAGTAGACGAGGTGCTCATAAATGGCGCGATACAGACGCAGGAGGGGTGGATGCACATACATGGTATGGATTGCGTGTTGTCGTTGCTCTCACGACTTGGCTCTCATATGTCCGGGTGCGCACGCCCTTGGGTGGTTTGCTTTAGACAACCGAAACATTCCGGCATTGGGCCGGATTGGGGACCCCGACGACATACTGGGTTCCGTAAGAGTCGAAAACAGCCAGGTATGTGAGGCCGGATGACGTGTTTGCTAGTGTCTTACAGCTTTGGAACCTAACTGTGCAGATCCTGGCCGAGACATACCAGCCAATGCCTGCATATCGAATGTGCACGTCGGACGGTGTACTGCAACTTAGCGAAGGCATAGCAAAGCGATTGAAAGAGATGCTAGAAGCTCGAGCGTAAAACGAGACAGATGCTTTGCTACGAGGGATAATTCCTCATTTGAACAGGGCTGACTCGTTATCACACGACGACATTGCCTGGAACATTTATGATCATTGTGGTACATGGCAACATTGTGTCCCAACAGCCACTCCAACACAGGAACATGGTCGGAATACGAGCACTCCTGACGGGAGTGCAGGACTCGGCGTGGCAACAAGGGAATGTGATCTCCAGCGACGGGCATAGTGAACTCGTGCATGGCGCGCCCTCGCATGGAGCTTGCTTGGCATGACATTCCTACTGTGGCGAGCCTAGCAGCCGATAGGACATTTTTACTCTGAAAATAGAGATGGTCAGCATGAATTGTTGTCCCTCGGACAACAATAGGGGGAGACGCACTGGAACGAGCCCGCATTTTTCTGCGTTTGCGACGGAGTCTGCGAGACCGCTTTTTCTTCCACTTCTCTCTCATTCTGCCGGGAGCATCGTTGAGTTAGTCGAGCGAAAATGCACCCCGAAAGAGCAAAGATCCATACCTGTGGTGATATGGAGAGTACTGCAGAGCCCAATAGGGACGGCAGGCGGATATGGGGCTGGTACTGTACAGATTTGCTGACATAATCTCCCACGAACATTAAGGTTAGTGACGAGCGCTCGTGGTTGCGTCATTGGCGTTCATGACAATTCGTTCCCCGATTCGGTATTTCCTCCTTGCATGCGATGAGCAAAGGCAAGCGGCCGGCCATCCCTGCTGCGTTACACCATGAGGTCTCCGAATATGCCGCTCTCATCCGTGCACTTAGAACAAGCCACACTCTCGACCTGTCTGAGCAGCTCGTGCGCGCGAGTGTGCCGACTGTGGACGATCTGCTGTCGGACGACGAGCTAGACAACGATGGGGACGACGGGGCTGACGACAACAGGTACCGGACGCCTGCGGTGGAGACATCAAACGTCCCGGATAATGAAGGGTACGAAGGCGATGCGAGTGCTGCGTCGCGGATACGGACGCGCTCGGTGAGCGTGTCGGCGCTGCCCGAGACGCGGAAGAGGACGAGGACAGGCAAGAGCAGGGCGCGCGATACGTGGACGCGATGGCCGCTGCTCGCGGGAGACGTCCACGTCCCAGAGTGGGGACTTGAGGACGAGGTCGAGCTAATGGCGTCGCGGGCCCTCAAGCGCGTGCCCCAGGCTCTTGCCCCCGCTGTAGTTGCTGGCGAAGACGACTCGAAACCGTTTCCCGGTGGCATAGAAGGCGGGGTCGACGAGGACGTGGAGCTGGAGCCGGCCTCCCTGCACGCGCTCACGGACGACTCGGCGACGTACCTTGCGCGCATCCTGGCCCTGCTCGCCGCGCACACGGGGTCGTACACTAAGCGCATGCAAGACCGCCTGAGGCCGTTCGACTGGGAAGCCGTCTTGGCGATCGTTGGCGCGAGCTCCCTCGTTGACCCCAAGTGAGTGTGTTTACGAATCTACGTGTTCATTTGGGTCCCGATCTGTGGTTTCGCGCTTAGTGTCGTGCGGAATGTCCATCGGAGGCTGGAGGTGCTCTATAAGCCGTCCCAGTCCCATGGTAAGTGGTGATTTGACCGAGCCGTTGGAGGTGCTAATTCCTGACGGCTGTAGTGGTTGAGCGCGTGCAGACGACGTCTTCGCTGCAACTGAGGCTGGCCAGTATGTGTGAACGGCATGATGCGTCTCTTTTTACTCTCGCTGGATACGATCCACTTGCCGGGATGCCCAAAAGTGGGTGCTATTTTCGAGCATGTGCCACTCAAAATTCTGAAAACATGCAGAACCGAAAAAACCATACAAGAAGAGAAAGACCTCAGCGGTGAAGGAAGAGGTTGTGTAACGAGCCATGTGCTACCGAACAAGACGTACAGCTATCCAGTTACGGGAGCGCATGTCTATACTGTGCATTAACGGCGATCCTCGCCGATGTTGGATGGAGGCGCTTCGCGGCTCTTGGTTTAATGCTGTCGTAGCTTGCATTGCGCAGAGGGCCGTGAGTGTCAATGGTGCATTCCGTCTACTCTTACTAACCATCTCTAAGATACAAGATCCCTTCCTCGCTATGGGCTAAATTGTCCCGACGAGCATTCCAGCGTGATGCCGCAGTATTTTCTTTTTGCAGAGCCAGAAGAAGCTCTGAGTTGCTCACAGGACTTTGACGATGAGATGACATCGCCTGTTCATTCAAAGCTAGTGTATTGTCACCCCTCGTCCGAGTGCATGAATAGGGAGAGGATTCCCGCAGGGCACGTTCAGACATCCGGGGGGATGTTCTGTTGGATGAGCGCGAGCATATGATGTCCATAGCACGGGCTGCCCTGTGTAGTACATAGACAATAGACTGCACGTTACAACTCTGGTCCCTTCTTGCGTGGCCCAGCATCAGCCGCTCATGCCGCCCATCACCTCATACAGGCCGTCCATCGCGCGCCTGCCAAGCCGCTTGCTCCAGAAGC